TCTTGACATTTTCGTTTTTTTTTTTTCTTTACAAGTTTGAAGGGGTTGTTTGGTAGGGTGTATAAGAATAGTGCGAATAAGGTCTATTAGTAATGCATGAGTTAGTAATGGAAGCACTAGTTATGCAGATATTATTTCTTATCTGCTGTTTGGTGTGGTGTATTAATATTATAATGCATTGCATAATTTTTAAGAAAAAGAGAATGTCCTCCATATTCTCTAGCTTTAAGGGACTTTAAGGACAATTTTGCATTAATAGCCTTGGTATTACTAATCCCATAATTTTCTCTGCATTACTTATACATAGGATAATACCAAATATGATGTATAACTAATACAATTATTGGTTATACACAAGTTGAAAAAATGTACCAAACACGGTTATAATAATGTTCAGAGATAATGCTTGCACTATTTTTTCTAATACCTCCTACCAAACTACCCCGAAGTGTCAAAAGAGAGCATATTCACTATATCAACATGTGACAAATTAAAGCATAACTCAAAATGAATAAAAGTAATACTCCTCCGTTCCAATTTATGTGAACATGTTTGACTGGGCACGGAGTTTAAGAAAAAATGAAGGTTTTTGGAATTTGTGGTCCTAAACAAGTCAAAAAAGGGTCCAAAGTATTTGTGTGGTTATAAAAGCTTCTCATTAAGGGTATAATTATAAGTTTAAGCTAAATTATTTCCAAATTTAAAAAGGGGTAAATTTTTTTTTGAACGGCCCAAAAAAGAAATAAATTCACATAAAATGGAATAGTGGGAGTAGATTGCTAACGATGTTAGCAAACGTATAATGAAGTGTGATGAAAACATTGGAAGATCAGAGTGCAAAGTTCAGCACAAGCAAAAATATTGGATGAGTTTTCAATTTTATTTAAGTTTTGGGGGGTAAAGCTCGATACCTATTTTGGTGGAAGTAGCAAGATATCAAGAATGTTGAGGTGCGCGTAAGCTCGACCAAATACCATCCTTATATATAATAAAATAAGAATAATAGAATTAGGGTTCTAATGATTATGATAAAGAAACTAACAAAAGCAAATGCCCGTTTATCTTATAGTCAGAGAACTGGCCTAATTAGCCTGGCTCTGCAGAGAGAGAACTTTTATTTATGAATAAAGAAAGCCAAACTCTGGTTATGTCCATAATCCTGCCCATCATAATTCAAATCAAGACGGTTGGCCAATTTCTTAATTATAAGTTTTTAAATGTACATATCTTAGCCGTTAAAATCCAAAAGTATACGATAAACTTAATGGGCCATTTTGATTAATTATATATCTACTTCATTTACTGAATGTCCAGAATTTTGGAGCCATCATTATACATTATTACGATTGTCACTGTCATAATAAGTACTATGTACAAAATTTGCTTTGGGTGTAAAAAAAAAAAAGTAAGTTTAGACGCTATCGTGCATTATTATTATTATTATTATTATTATTATTATTATTATTATTATTATTATTATTCTTTTTTTTTTTTTTTTCCAGCTTTGTGAAGTTGGTATTTCATTGTGACGACCCAAAGGGTCATCACTTGTTTCCTCACTCATTCCGTGCTTCCGTAGCCTTGAAAACCTCATTTAGGGTTGCCTCGATTTGCGTGCGCAGTCCGGGCGCGTAGCCGGAAAGCCTAAATATGAATTCTGTGAGAAAAATGCTAAATTTTGATATTAAATTGAATAAATTTGACTTCGGTCAACATTTTGGGTAAACGGACCCGGACCCGTGATTCGACAGTCCCGGAGGGTCCGTAGGAAAATATGGGACTTGGGCGTATGCCCGGAATCGAATTCCGAGGTCCCAAGCCCGAGAAATGAATTTTTGTGTGAAATTGTTTTCTAGAATTAATTAAGGAAATTGGAAATGAAATTTTATTAGAAGACTATGGTATCGGGCCCGTATTTTGGTTCCGGCACCCAGTACAAGTCTTATATATGATTTAAGCACTATCTGTAAAGTTTGGTTTAAAACGGACGTCGTTTGACGCGTTCCGGACTTGAAATGGATAATTTGATGTTTTATGAAATTTGGAAGAAATCATGGGTTTTGAGGCCCAATTTGATGTTCATGCTGTTATTTTGGCGATTTGATCGCACGAATAAGTCTGTAGGATTGTTTTGAGGTGGTGTGTATGTTTGGTTTGGAGCCCCGAGGGCTCGGGTGAGTTTTGAGTAGGTTCCGGGATGCCTTAGACTTAAAATATCAGCTGTTGCAGGTTCAGGAAATATTGCAGGCCTCTGAACCCTCTAGCGCAGTCCGCGAGAAATCGCGTGCGTCCGCGGAGGGGCCAACGCGGCCGCGGTCGCCTTTGCGCGGTCCGCGGTGGGTGTTGTGCGGCCGCGGTCGGCTTTGCGCGGTCCGCGCAGGGCTAAGATCCGCAGGTCTTCGGGTAGGCCAGGCCAGCGCGGCCGCGGTCCCTTTTTTGCACGGTCCGCGTTGGGACTTTAGAGGGGTATATATAGACGGGAATTTCAGTTATTTTTCACTTTTCAAAAACCCAAAACATAAGAGGCGATTTTTCAAACAATTCTTCTTCTTCAAAACGATTGGTAAGTGATTTCTAACTCATTTTCTTCACTCCTTAACATCTTTTAACATAATTTCAACTTCAAAACAAAGATTTTAATGGGGAAATTTGGGAATTTTGGGTAGAACCTAGGTTTTTCTAAAATTGGGGATTTGGATCTCAATTTGAGGTCCGATTTCAAAATAATTTATATATTTGAGTTCATGGGGGAATGGGTAAACGGGTTTTTGTTCGAACCTCGGATTTTGACCATGTGGGCCCGGGGGCATTTTTGACCTTTTGGGGACAAATGATGAAAAAGCTATAATTAGGTATTGGGTTCGTGTTGTTTAGCATTTATTGATGTATTGAAGTCATTATTGTAAAGATACGATTGATTTGGAGCCGAATTCGAGGGAAAAGGCAGTTATTGAGGATTGAATTGGCCGTGGAAGTTTGAGGTAAGTGTTCGATCTAACCTTAGCTTGAGGGATTAGGAGTTGAGTCTTATTTGCTATTTGTTTTGTGTTGAGTACGACGTATAGGCATGGTGACGAGTATCTATACGTTGGTGTCGAGCATGATCATGGGTCTTAAATTGATAATTCTTGTATTCTTAATGGATTCTACGTAAGCTTGATTGATGATTCTCGATATTGAGCAAGGATTTAGTTTATTTCCGTGAATTTTAGTTATGATGGAGTATTGGTATTAATTGGGTCAAGTGAAAGTGCATAAGATTGATTATAGCTGACTCCCCCTTGCTGGGACATTTGATTTGATATTTTGTTCCCTTGCCGGGAAGTTATTATATTGTTGTTCCCTTGCCGGGAAGTCATTATATTGTTGTTCCCTTGCCGAGAAGATATTATATTGTTGCTCCCTTGCCGGAAAGTTGTTATATTGTTGTCCCCCTAGCCGGGATTATCTTGTTATATGTGTTGGATTGATGAAATGGGAGCGGGTGGTACGCCTACCACAAGATTGATGAAATAGGAGCGGGTGGTACGCCTACCACAAGATTGATGAAATGGGAGCGGGTGGTACGCCTACCACAAGTGATCGATGAAATAGGAGCGGGTAGTACGCCTACCACAAAATTTTGTGAAATGGGAGCGGGTGGTACGCCTACCACGAGTTGATGAAATGGGATCGGGTTGCACGCCCGTAACAAGATGAGCTGAACATGTGAATTTGTCTTTATTTCTTATTTCCGTGTTAGAATCTAGACAGTAGATTTCTCCTCTATTATTCCTTATATTCTATTTATATCTGCTACCCCCGAAACATGTTCCCTCCCCCAGTTTTAATTGTTTATTCCTGTTTGCCTCTTCGTTATATTGTATATATATATATATATATATATATATATATATATATATATATATATATATATATATATATATATATATATATATATATATATCTGNTGTATTGTGTGTGTGTGTGTATATATATATATATCTGCACAGATTTATCTGGAGTCTGGTCCTAGCCTCGTCACTACCTCGTCGGGGTTAGGCCAGGCACTTACCAGCACATGGGGTCGGTTGTGCTGATGCTACACTCTGTGCTCTTTTGCACAGATCCAGGTGTCAGAGCAGCTTACAGTGCGCAGCAGTAGGCCAGGGAGCAGTCTTTCAGTCCACGAGATCCCGAGGTAGTCCTGCAGGCGTCCGCAGGCCCGGCATCTCTTTTATCCCCTTTCTGCCCTGTTTCCCTTGTACCGAGTCAGAGTTCTATCATTTTGTTTCAGACTTTGTATTTAGCATTCTTAGATGGTCCGTGAAATGTTGTGACACCAGGTGCTGGGTAGAGGCTTGTATTGATGCTTAGACGTTGTTGCTATATTCTCAGTTCAGACTTCCGCTATCTTTTATTAATCGCAGTATTTTAAATTGCTTATGCATCTATAATTTAGATTGTTTAATCATGGGTAAAATGAATTAGGATGATGTTTGCGATTGTTCTTGGCTTGCCTAGCTTCCACGAGTAGGCGCCATCACGACTCCCGAGGGTGGGGATTCCGGGTCGTGACATTCATATACATTTATCTAGCTAGTGTTTGGAAATTAGAAACCCCCCAATGACAGTACTTTAATATGTTTTATATTCCAAAGTATACAAGTTTGATTAAAAGACACTACATATAATACTGTAAATATTCTTTTTCACTGCAGTGTATAGAAATTAATCTCGTGAAGATAAGGCAAAACATAACCATTCGGTATTTTTCAGAATCCATGTTAAAATCATACTTACCTTGATTTTTTGCACTCCTCATCTTTAGGAAAAGAATTATTTACGTTATCTAAGCAGACCTAAGATGTTAATGAACTCACCCACTGATTTGACATTCTCTTCCTACAAAATGTTGTGAGACATTTTCGATTAACAATTAATGGAGGAATAAAAATGCAAAATTCCTTAAAGACATTATCACCGTTAAAGAGGGGGGAGTGGGGGATTTTGGAGCAAGATTTAGAAAGAAATCGCATTATTAGTTATAAAAAATAGAGACATAAGGGAATTACAAACATTTGAAGAAAAAAAAATTCACCCGCTCAAGAAATTAATAGACACAGCAATTATATAAAGTAGTAGTTAAAAACATTTCTATTTCTTAGGTGCAAGCCTAGACTTGATCTTCTCCACTTCCTTAGTACCGACTTGGAATGTCTTGGTCAAGACATCATCTGGCACAGTTGGTGAAGCAGCAAACAAAGTAGCTGCTATTGACTGAGTGCCTGGAAACTGGCTATTGAATGCAGAAATAACAGCAGCTGGAACTTTGCCATTATTCTTTTGAAAATGGACAAGTCCTTTAGGGAAAACAAAAACTTCACCCTTTGTAATGTGCTTTGAAATTAGTACATTGGCAGTAGTAATGAATCCAACATCCAATTCACCTTCCAAAACGAAGACCATTTCAGTGGCACGAGGGTGAGTATGGGGTGGGTTAATTCCACCAGGGGCATAGTCAATTCGAGAAAGGGATACGCCGAGTGTGTTAAGGCCAGGGACTTTTATGACATTAGCTCCAGTGACTGAAGAACCCATTGTGTTGTTTGTATCTCCTGGCTTGGATATGGCCATTGATGAGAAATCAGCAGCCGTGAAATTCTTCTTACAAGGAAATCCATTCACGCTCACGCCTGTATATTCAAAATATATGCATAAGAATTGAAGCAGTAGTTAATGTAGTCTTTTAGTACAAAGTGCGAGGCAGATCCAGGATTTAAACTTGATGAATTACATTGAGATTAACTTTAGCTTATTGAACACATTACACATTTGAAACTTCGTTCAAAATTTTCTTTTCGAAATATATTGTCACTACTTGATATCGGAAAGAATAGTAGTAGTAGTGTTTCAATATCCTATCATCCTGAATCAATCTCTAAATAGAGGCAGATCCAGATTATGTGGGTTCAACTTTTAAAATTTTTAGCATTGAACATATTGTATTTTTAAAGTTATAGGTTCAGACCTACTATATGTTGTAATTTTAATGAATTTTTACACATAATTATACTTCGCAGGGAAAGTATTGCATTCATATGAATCCGGCAGCCATACAGTACTACATCCCCTCTGCCTCTAATAATAAGAAACATGATTTACTTTGGTCGTACTAAGATATTTGTTAACCCATAATGTAACAGAATTAATTAAGAAGTTAATCCGAAAAGAGATGAAACCCAAGAAAAAGAAAATGTTAATTTCCCAAGTGAAAAAAGAAGAAAAAATAAAGGGAAATTCGCATTGTTAGTCCCTCAAATACCAAAAAAACTCTTATTTTGGTTCTTATGATATCTAGTTAAATACATTTAACATTTGACTAATTGAAATGTGCACTTTTGATCCCTCTGCTTGTGAATCTTAAGAAAATTTAGCGAATTATTTATCATGATGTCACTTAAAAGTTTGTATGTTACTTCGGGTAACATGGTTCTAAGAATATCCAAATGTAACATATTTTTCCTATATAAAGGGGCCATTTTTAGTAATTGAAAGTTGAATGTGCTTAATCATACATTAGAAGAAGCAAAATTAGAATATATCAATAACTAAGGGACCAAAAATGCTATTTCCAAAAAGAAACAAGTGTTGAAGCATTAATAAGGTCTGGTAGTAATGGCTTCACCGTGAAGCCTTCACGTGGTATATTTGCTTACACGACACTTGCAAAAGTATAGTTGGTGGCAGTGAGACATATTAGTCATAAATAAATATAAATATGTAAGCAAAAGAAGAAACAACAGCTAGCAAGGAGAAATGTCAATGTCAATGTCAAGTTGAAGAAATACACAAACATAAATAGAAAGAAAGTACAAACAAGAAAATTATAAAACCCAAAAAAAAACCTAACATGAAGCAGAACAATATAGTACTGATCATGAATCTTCCTTTTTTCTCTATATTAAAGAAGATACTAAAGAAAAGGGTATGGTTCCAATTACTTACTTGAGTTGAGATCAGCAACGCAGATATCTTGGAGCAAGTCTGGATCTCCACAAACTTTGCTGAAGCTAACGGCTAAAATAGCTACAGCCATAGACATCATTACTAGCACCTTTCTATAGACGGCCATAGTGAAAGAAATAAACAATTATTGATAGCCAAAAAGGAATTAATTTGAGTACTTTTCTTGTTTGGACAATGAAGAGAGAGTGGCTTTATTTATAAGGGGGAAAGATAAAAATGAAAATCTATAATTAGGTAGCAAGTGACGTGGAGTTGGGGTGTTTGATACTTTGACAAAAGTAGGAAATGGAGTATACCCTTATCTCTTCGACCCAAAGCGAAGGGATCAAGCAGATGGGTCCAATAACAGAGGACGATATTCAGCTGCCTAAATTAAAACAATTGCTTCGTGCCGTAGACGTGACCTGACTATATATCCATTCACAAGCAATTTAGGCTGTATATGTAAATCTATCTGAATTTAATGTTTTTAATTTATACTAATATTAGAATGTATATAGATAATAAGATCACATTATTATAAATTCATTGATAAATAAATATTGATCTTTACACCAATGAGAGGTATTCTCACAGCGTTACTTGAATACTCCACATAAGAATTTTTGTGTATAACACCTCATATTCGGCTTAAAGTATGTACATTTATATGCATATTGCCTCGCATTTTACTCATGTTTCGTAAATTTCGCATGTGTAATATAATGGTTTGTGGTATTTTTATATGTAGGAATCATGCGGAGGCAATTTGGGACGAAGGTGCGAGAATTGAAGCGAAAAGGGGAAGAAACGAGAAAAAGTCACAAAGTAGCGCCACAAGTAGTGTGGGGCACTACCTGTGGCGCAGTTTCTAGAACCTCAAAAATTTCAGCCCTAGGGCTAACCCCACGCTACCCTAGGCGCTGGTGACGGGAACTTGTCCTATTTCCTCCGGAACTTGGTCATTTCGACCCCAAGACGCCCCACGCTACCCTAGACGTTGGTGACGGGTACTTGTCCCATTTCGTCCGGAACTCATAGCGTTGCTTGAATACTCTACATAAGATTTTTTATATATAACACCTTAGATAGTAGATATAGTTGGGATCTATGAAACCTACATCTAATGGCAATAGATATCGCTATCTTAACACTAATTCGGATGGCCTCTTTGGCAATTCTATAGAAACGTCTCATATTAAGAGTATCCCATAAGTTAAATTTGTTTATTTATTCATCGATTAACTCTTGTTTCAAATTATTAACATACAATAAACGGTTGTTAATATAATATATTATGATCAAAATTCTTTTTTTCCATTTCAAAATGACCTTTCATAGGCATGGACAGATTTATAGGAGAGATTGTGGAGCACACGAACTAATGGTTTTTCCTCATGCAAAGTTAGATATATTATGCACGTATTTTTTAGAATTAGCTAGTATAATATTAACTGTTGGCGTTCGTGCTCCAAAAACGTTAAATGGTGCACTTAGTTAAAGGTTAGATTTATTTATCAAAAGAAATACTAATTAATCAATTCCCACTTAATATATTTTTCCCTTTTTTTAGTAGTGCAGTCTGCGTTTCGATTGAAAGAATTTCACTATCATCGTTTGGGAAGACATTTGCTTTACGATATGTGGTACAATGTAAATAGAGATTGCCTTCTGAAAATTGCATATTATATGAAGACAACGACTGGAGTTATAACTTCAATAAGAAAATGCCAAAGAAAGAGTCATTGTTTGGTGGCATTAAGTCCTCACCAAAGAAGTTGGTAAAAACATTGCTGAGGAAGTTGTTAATTTTTGTCACTCTTTTTCGTTTTTTCTTTTTGCTTGTTCTTTTCTTTGATTGGCTTCTTCACTATTTTCTTCCGGTAAAGAGACTCTAGAAAGGAAAAATAATAATTTAAGTCTGGCTTATAAGGTGTTATATTCATTCCGAAGCCATCTACCAAGGAGAAATATTGAAGTGAAATGTTGAATGCTCGTTTGAAGGTGTATATCAGGTCAACTAAATATTGGTTTTACACTTTTATTCGTGAGTCTTTAACTTTAACAAGCTTTTTATTCCAAGTGCAGTTTACAGTCAAACTCAACTTCAATTTTCAATTTTTTTCAATACTAGATTCACATATTTTTTTTCAAATTCAGCTCAAATTAAATACTCATGATCTATAATAAATGTGCAGTTCAATGTGTCAAATTAAATAATATATCCTTATCTCAACCATTATTCTTTTTGTCTAGTTTTAAAAAGTCAAATTTTCCGCTTCTTCCTTTAGCAGATTTTTCCAAATAAAATTATAAAAAAAATTAGAGAAAGTTTCATAAAACACAATCTTTTAGCGGTAATTAGCTACCTATAGACACCATTTGCTATATTACGGATTGTAGATAAGTTTTCTGTTGTTATAAGATGTATTAGATGTATTTAAGCTACTGTATTCATGAATACAATAGCAAAAATAGGCGTGAATCAGGGAAGTCCAGCTGATCAGTTGCTGTATTCGAGTGGACAGATTATTGTATTCGACTGTATTCACGGCGTGAAACAGGGATTACACTGTTTTTAAATGGAAAGTGAATCAATTAACATAATAGACTCCTAATATAACTCAACAAACTCAATTATAACACACAAAATTTATTCCAGTTATAAAAAAGATTCTCAACCGGAAAATACCCCAAAAATATAGCAATCTTTAAGAGAAATTATATAATACATCTTAATACATAAATTATATTAATTAAAAAAAATATATGAGTACATTCATAGCATATAGCGAGACAGCGAAATACATAGAATACAGCGGGACACATTGAAATACAATGGAAAATAAGACCGTGAATACAATAAAATACATGGAATACAGCGAGATACATTGAATTACAATGAGAAAAAAAACAATGAATACATAAAAATACAGCGTGATACGTTGAAAAAACATTGAAATATATTAACAGAAAATTAAATTGCTCAGCCCCAAACTCCGTCGTCTTTGTTCAAGAACAAACCCTAATTTCCGGCGAATCCACCGTCGAGCAAAAACCCTGAATCTCACTGTTCCCACGCCGCTATCGATCGAAGGCTTCATCTCCTTTGGATTCAATTTCGGTTGCAGAAATTACTAACACTCCTTGGGGACCCGTGATCGTCTTGTCAGAAGAGACATCCATAGCCGCACGCCCATTTGTTCCATTCAAACTCGGCCATACAAAAACAACTTAGTCTATAATTTTGAAGATGGGACTTAACCAAGAAGCTAGTAATCCCGTGCCATGATCTTCTCTAAGCCACAAGAGTACTGGCGGTGGTTGATTCATACTTTCAGACTGGGTGGAAGCTTCTTTATTTTCTTATAGTAGCGAGCAAGTCGATGAATCCTGCTCTCGACGAGAATCAATCTAAAGTTGGAATCCTTGTCTTTCCTGTTTCTTTCAAGATGCTTCCTGATGGCCACTGCTTTCTTGATAAGGTGGTAGAGATCCTCGGGAATCTCAGGAGCAAGTCCATGAGCCTTCAGGGTTCTGAGAATCTTGCTACCGGTTACACTCTTCACTTGAGCAATTCCATGAGAATTAATTGCAACGGAAGGGTTTAGGGTTCAGCAAATCGAAATAGTTTGGCATGTATGAAAGTAGAGAGAGAAAGAAAATACGGTAACTGATTAGCGTATTTAGTGGCTTAGGGCTAGGAGGTAACAAAAATTAGATATTTTGTTATAAAAATTAAAAGAGATCTACAGAATATAATTTTTTTAAATGGTATTTATTTAAAATAAATAAGGTGTTAACCTTTGCTATAGGAGTTTATCAGTTGGGGCAATAATACTAATAAAATTGGTCCATGTTTTACCTTCTTACCCAGTTTGGCCCACTTTGTATGGAACTTAATTTTTTTGTTATTCCTTAGTCCAACATTAAAGACCTACTTCTAATAATTTTTTTCTTTTCCAAGCGCTCTTTTTCTTTATTTTTTCCTTTTGCTTCGCTAGGCAGACAAATTATCCTGTTAGAATTCGGTTTTGAGGTTGTAGTTATGTGCTTCATACAAAACGTACTTGCCATATGTAAATGAGAATATAGCATGGTATTTGGCACTAGATTATTACTCAATACAAGATAGAGTATTGTTTCTTTGCTACTATATTTGTGTATATGGTGGGAATTGGGGCTATCCCATTTCGGTCTTCGATGAAAAAATGATACCACGTCGGAAAGCCAGGACGACGAGCTCGGGGTCGAAGTTCCTTTCCAAGGTCATGGTCGATAACCCTTACCGAGGTCAGAAGAAGCCATGCTTCGAGGCGATGCTAGTATAAGTCAGTAACGGAAAGAGCGAGATACCCGCAATGGGCCGGAGATCACGGCGTAAATTTCGGAATGGATTGGTCTTCAGCGGTTAAACAGTTGTCAAATATGATTTCATATTATGATTGGAAGTGCACCTTATTTAGGACTCCATTATTATATAAAATGGGGGATCCTATCCATTTGTAACACATTGATCATTGTTTTCTGATAAGAAAATATATACACGTTGCTCTCTTGCTATTTCACTTACTGTTCATCAAGAGTTATTTACCATTTGTTAATCCTGTTACCATACCTCGAGATTGTCACAGATCGAGGTCGAGACTTAGTTTACACACTGGTTTGATCTATTTTATTCTTTAATTTATCTATTTGACTCCTTGTTTATCAATTGGTACTGGATTAAATCACATATCCTTAAAATCACAATATAAGTTTAATTGTTACTCGAATTTTAGGGTGATCAGTTTGGCGCCCACCGTGGGGTAAAGATAATAGTGATTGTTTCAGCGCTGATTCTGATAACACACGTTATTTTTCACACTTGTTCTTGTCAAGTACTTTTGCTCTTAGGTTAAAGCATGTCAAACTCACAAAACGCACCCGTACATGGTGAGGATGGTCTCGGATTTCACGGGGAAAACGACAATGTAATTGCTCCAGGAGCTGGGGTGCCACCGACTAATCTCAGGGGAGTACCGGTTGCCGATCTAGTTAATATCACTTTGCACGTTGCTCTATATGCGGACCTAGGCACGGACCCCGAAGGGAGTGTACGTAGGGAAGGCCGATCTGGTGGCCAAGGTACACAGGGCAGAGAAGGCAGGGGAGTTAGCCTCCAGATAATATTCGAAATGCTACAGGCTCAGCAGTCCGCTATTGCTCAATTACAAAATCAA